TATACCTGATTGGGAGAACCTCAGCAGATCAGAAAGAACTACGTTTAACTTTAAAAAATACGCAGCGATTCCAATTTCGTGAGAATGTGTGTTGATACTCTGAGCACACATCCTGCAAAGCAAATGTAGCTCAGGAGTAAGCAAAACGAATTAAAATCTGTCCAGACTGAGAGAGCTTGAATGACCATTTGGATGACGGACGTCTTGTAGAGTTCGTTTGTGTCAATGTGGCAATCCACATTGACACATTGACAATTGACATTGACACTGGGAGAACGCCTTTGTGAATATGACGGCAGGAGTTCAGAAACAGGAGGCAAGAAGACCAGTTGCCCAACCCAAAGAATGTGAAAAGAGTTTAGCCAGCCCCTGTTGTACATTGTGAGATGAAACAAATCTCCAGCTTTCAGCAGTCTTTCTGACGCATTCTGCCTGATCAAATCAAAATGGCTCTCCTATTGAACATCATGGGTGCAGTATAGTCGTCAGGTCCTGGTGGTGTGCGAGGCCAGAAGTTGTCTACCTGATTGTTCTGAATCTGCGTGGGGCTTGGCCAGGAACTTACATTATGCGCTGGCACAAACATAGGCTGCAGCCTCATCTAGATGTACCCGTATGCCGCTTCTCTTTCCGTGGAATCCTGGTGACCCCGGGCGCGGGTCAGACCCGGGTCCGGGGTCTAGATGTACCCACATGACGCTCCCCTTTCCGTGGAATCCTGGTGACCCCGGGCGCGCGTCAGACCGGGTCCGGGGTCTAGATGTACCCTCATGACGCTCCTCTTTCCGTGGAACCCTGGTGACCCCGGGCGCGGGTCAGACCCGGGTCCCGCATACGTCACCTGCCGTATGCATGCCGATGAGCTTTCAGCCTACGGGTATGGTGGCAGGTCATAATAGGCTAACAGAGTGCTTTTGTTTATATCTTTTACCCGTTCTGTCATGCAGGTATGGAGTGTGTTTATCGTTCGACAAGGTAGCAGGTAATATAACCTTGCCCCGATGCAAATAAACACGATCAGCTGATAGCAAAACAGCAAAAACCTGCCTATAGCACGCATGCACTACCAACTTTTACATAGGCCTCTGCGTCTTTCTGGCAGGTTACCGTATGATGGAGAAGATGGTGACCTCGATGGGGTTCGCCATGCCTTCGTACAGCGAGTGGAAACAGTGGATGGCCGCCTACGAAGATATGATGCTGCAGATGGCCGAGGGCCAGTGTGAAGGCATCACGGACATGGTGAAGGGCTTCAAGAGCGCCATGGGGCCGATGAAGCAAATGATGGGCCAGGGCATGGACCAGATGGGTAACGTAGGTGCCATCATGGGTGGCATCGGCGACGGGCTGGCCGACTACGCCAGCGGCATGCCCATGGGCGGCATCATGTTCTAGCTTTCCGACGTCGCAGCCGCCTGCACCTGCACGAAGCGGGAGCCATGGCCTCAGGAAACGCCGTGAAGATGTTGTTCCTGTTCCCGTCGGCTGTTTTTGTATCATGGGTCTTGCAACTTTTCAATGCGATAACTGAGGCTTTGGTAGAAGATAGCTGTGCGATATGCCGTTAATATAGATAATGATATTGACTGCGGGATGCGACTACGGGCGGATTGATAAGCATGACAAACCTGCAACCGCGGTTGACTGCTGTTGGACAAACCGTAACGCGCTAAATGATCTACGAGATGTGAGTAGAGGAAACTCGCAAGTTACACAATCCATATCACCACAAGACGCGCACTTTGCACATCAGAAAGGCTTTGGTACGACGCTAATTGCGCATAAGACACAGGGATCAATCGGCATGACCCTCATGCATCAACGTGTTCTATCAGTGCACACCGTGAGGGCAAGGTCTGAGCAGAGCACGAACATGTTCTTTACAGTGTACGTTCATTTTCGCCTTGCCGTATTTGTGGCCACGTGTTTTGTGGGATAATGCCAGCCGTACCCCTGCCATCATAATTGTTCCAATTCCACATGAACGTTATCCTCATATCCAACTCACCGCCGCATTGCCTCCTATTTATCTCCATATCCAGCGCTGGGCGGCGATCAGCAGCAGTTAGCCTCCCCTCTAATAGGGCCCGGTGCGCGCGCCGCGCCGCTGCGCCGCCGCCGCCAGCCGTGGCAACCGTCAGCTGGCGGCGGCCGGGCCAGCCCCGAGAGAGGATCAGCCGCTGTACTCGGCCACGGCTGGGCTGGCTCGGCCGCTGATTGGATCCAGTTAGCCGCTCTGTCTGCCGACAGCGGCCCGGCACGCGCGCCGTCCTCGGGCGCCACCAATGGGCTGGGGGACTCACGGCCGGCACGGGCGGCGTCCTCGGGCGCCACCAGTGGGCTGGGGGACTCACGGCCGGCACGGGCGGCGTCTCGCTTACAGACACGCTGTGCTGTGCGCAGAAGCACGCTGCCCCCTCCCCTCTGACTCCCCCCCCCCCCCCCCCGCCGCCCGGGATAAGGTGCACACGTCTGCAGGCTTAGGGCGTCGCCAAAGGAGTTCGAATTGCCCGGGCTAGCGGGGATACCAGGTGACCATGAAGTGGCATTGGCGACACAGCGCTACCTGGTGCCACCTTTGTGACGATGCCGTTCGAATATTTGTTGATGTGCATGCGCACGACCAGAACCGATCCAGGGTTCCTTCCTAGAGAGTTCCAGGAAATTCGAAGAATCTTGAGGCAGTAGAAAGATCCTAAAAGGCATCAAGACAAACAGAGCTGAAAAAACACGTAGGTACAAGGTGGTCAGGAGCGGGGTGTAGTTTCCTATCCAGTTAGAGCCCTAGCTTCCAACTTTGAAAGGGGAGTGGGCCAAATTCGATGAAAATCCTCTGCTTCGTTTTTTGCGAGCAGTTTTAACCATCTTCCCTGGTCAGGACCCCCCCCCCCAGCTATTGTTGCAATGTCTTTGGGCCCCCGGACCATGGACGCTGGTCGGGGGCTCAAAGACTTTTATGAAAGGGAGAATATGGCATGAAAATGGAGAATACTGAAAACACGGGTCGTATTCAAGGGAGGTGGTACTGGGCGCACCTACAACATCATCAAATTATTACGGACATGGATATACACATAAAACAAATATTGACGGTTTAAAGATGGAAAGTAGGCACCTAAAAATAAGTAGATTGTTACACGTAATGTGATGTTGTTACAAACAAAGTAAACAACGCAATGCGAGAATTTTGTGAGCCTGAGATAACGGTGAAGTGGTGTTTTCAGTACAAAACCTCGAGTTGCTCCCCACCACTATTGCAAATGTACAGCAGCCCCAGACCGTATTGGTTCGGATCATCTTCGAAACATGAGAAGTTGGGTCTGTCGGCACTGAAGCGAAATAAAAGCCCGGAACATTTCAAGCCATATATGAGAGTATTTACAGCCATAAATATGGAAACAATTGAGTGGGTAACAGCCGATGATGATATATTATTTCTGAAAAGGATCCGAGGTCGCGCAACTCTCCATTGAGCATCACAAAGCTGTGCTAGAGCAGGATGATGCCCCGACTGGAGTACGGCGTGACGGACCGCCCTGTTTACGAGCGTGCCGCGAGATTTCCATTCAGCGTGGGCCACAGTCGTTATCCCCCTTCAAATACTCCAGTCGATTGAGGTGGAGCGACACCTGTTAAGTTGACTTATATGGCCTTGGTTAAATCAATATTTGACGTTACTGTTAGGTAACTAGATCAAGTTTTTCTGATTCTCACCGGAAAACAGTGTTTTGCGATTTTTTCTTGAGGAATGGCGTTTTCCATACAGTTGAAAAAGCCAGTTCACAAAGTTTCTCTACGGATAGGGTCACCTACCTTGCTCATCACTATCATTTGCAGTTTTTGCCGCTTCGTAATCAGATAGCTTCGACAAGAGACCGTATGGCGGCTTGTACACCTAAGTCATTGACTTCTCAATACATTCTACCGCTTACTACATTTGGTTAAAGGACAATTTGAGTTTGTAACGGCAGACAGGATATCACGCTGTTCTAATAATTGCAACCCAATGAATCCTCACGCACTAAATGCAGGACAGCGTGCGTATTCGGTCAACAGCAATCAACGCCCTAACTGCCCTGGATTCGTGACCGCCAGCACCTCCCGCCACTGACCGGCATGTAGCCGCCCCTGCGAGGGGTGTCCCGCACGCATCTCGCGATGGCTCGCCACCCACAAGGCTCCCCTCCGCCCGGAAAATCTGCCGTTGAGAACTGCATTCGTAAGTCGATGACTGGATAGTGTAGAATCCGACTGGCTAATAACCCCAAGCGTACGCCTGGATTGAAAACAGGTCAGACAACTATGGCTATTTGAAATAAATTGTAGCTGCAGTCGAGCCACCAGTCAAATCAGACATGCTGAGTCGAACTGGCCAGCTCTCCTCAGCTCAAGCCGTGACTGTCACATTGTAACCGGGCAGAGCAGCCACAAGCAGCGCCTGGTTATACGATTGCCATTATCACCGTCCGTTCCAGTGCCCAATGAGGGCCGCCGGCGTTTCGGACGGGCGCAATTGCCGGGCGCCTCTACGCCGATTGGCCAGTGCCATCGATGACGTCACGAGCATCACTACGCTCCGCCCACCAGTGAGGGCCGGACATCGGAAACTCGCATCGGGGAGGCGTTTCACTTGGGGAAACGGACCAGCCTGACCTAGCCGTCGGGGCACCTTCGACAGAATCAGCTTCTCGGCAGCTCTTCACACCGCTCACGCAGCATGGTCGCCAGCCAGTGCGGCTCGAAGCCGGCGGTGTCCGTACCCTCCTGCGAGCGTCGCCCGGAGGCGACCGGTAGCCCCAGCCTGACGGTGCCGCCGGGCGCCGCCGAGCAGACACCGGCCGGCGGTGGGCCGGCGCCCCCGGACGCCGGCTCAGCCAGCCCCGGGGCGCCGTCGCTGACGCCCACCTCGGACGACTCGCCGGCGGATTTCCCGCGCTTCCACTTCAGCCGGAGGTGGGCGGCGGCGGCGGGCGGCGAGCGGGCGGTGCCACCGCCGCCCGCGCCGCCCCACTCGCCGCCGCTGACGCCGACCGGCGCGCCGCCGCCGCTGCCGCCGGGCCTGCCGCCGCCGTCCGGGGCGGCGCCGCCGCCGCCGTACGAGCCGGCCCGCGTGCCGTACTTCCCGTTCATGCCGTTCCACTCGCCGGAGACGCTGCGGCCCTTCGACCTGCACTTCGGCGGCCTGCCAGCCTTCTGTGAGTACGGCCCGGCTGGAGGGACGCAGCCAGGAATCCGTCACCGGACCAGGGAGCTATGGCATTTCGGGTGGATGTACACGACTGGTCGCATTTAATTTGTAATAGTATCTTGTGGGTCCTGCATCCACAACTTCTAGTCGCTAAAGCCATTTTAGGGATGTCCTGGGATTCCTGGAATTGCGTCCGTTACATAAGGTGATTTGCATCGCTTTCGTAGTGGCTTAGGAACGTCCGCAAAAGTGGAGTGCTAACCTCCCTTCCTGACCTTAAGCTTACGTCGGATCTTGTCGTGCCTTTCCCTAGTACTGATGTCCAGTTATTGCGAAACGTGTGAGGTCCAAGGCCACCGACCGCGTCGGCTACCACGCCGTGTGTCGTGAATGTAAAAAAGTAGTCATCAACGGTCATCAAAAGGTTCAGTCATCAACAAGTCTGTTTTGTCATCAATGTCTTCGTACGAAGCATGGCTGACAAGAAACATGGTCAAGCAATGATCCAAACAGAAAACCCAAATGGAAAAAGTACAGCAAACTTGAAATGATAAAATCATGAGGGGCGACGTAACAAAGACGAATGTCAAATTGAAAAAAAATCATGACGGCTTTTTTGCTGAAAATAACCATCTTCATAGTACCAGAAGGTACTGCGTGTTCCTGAGCATTTCTCATCTTCATTTCTTTTTGGTTATCATAAGTCATGTAGAAAAGTGGACCTGCCAGGCTGCAAAAAGTTGTCATTTTCCAAATTCAAATCATGTTGCTGCCGTCACATGACAGTTTTCCATGTGCCCGTAAAGCAAAGCTGGTTCAATGTATGAACTGAGTTGCTCACAACGGGTAATGTAAGATCATCCGCGGTCATTACATGATTTTCCATGAACTGACCTTGCGCTCAAAACTCCTGATGGCAAAACGACAATCATAACGATACACCGAGGAAGGATTGCTGACTTAACTAATCCCCTTTGTTATTGATCTGACATGGCCTGTGTTTCAAATAACCCCTAATCACATTCTTTATAAGTCCACCCTGCACAACTAGTCCATGACACTCAGGCACATCAATGTTCACAGCATGCAGGCGATTAATTTCGGTCCATTACAGAATGACTGTGGTAGGGCTAAAGCGATGTCACTTTGACATCGATGACCATTACCAAAGATATGGATATCATTGCTGTACACTACAGGACCACTTCGTGCATGCCGAACCATGTGAAAAATTATACGCACGGAGAGCCACAAGAGCGTCACAGGGCACATATTTTCCAACATTTTACCGTGCAGACCCTTGAGAACCAGGTCATCGACCAGTGACCTGACGACACGGCCGACAGTGGCCTGAAATTTAGTAACGAACGATTTCAAACTTATTCAGCCAGACATTCGTTTCGATGAGCTGGCCGTTTCGGGTGAATGACTGTAAAAACAGTGTGAGCGCTTGCACATTGTGTCACGTATCACCATATTGCACTAGAAAGGATAACCATTAGGCCTTTCGATTCCATTTTCTCTGTCACCAGACGGTGACGGTCCTCTTACTGCAGCGGATGCGCCAGTGATTAATCACTGCAGCATGATGCAGTTTTACTAGGATTACCCAGAGCTGTTTACTGCCTGGCTATCTCAAGTCACAGCAGAGTAGCAGTTGGACAACAGAGGACGGTTTCCGTGTTCTGACTGAAGTACAAAATCGCCCGTCTGGCAAACAATTATATTTATGTTTTCAATAAGTGTACAAAGACGCCTTTCTTGCAGTTCCTCATTTGAGTTTTCGCAGTTTGGGTTTCCCCTTTCTGACATTTCCTTTGTTGATCTTTACCCCTGTTGGCTTGCATCCTCTTTGAGGTTCCGTCTTTTGAACTTCCCTTTCATCGCTCATCCTTATTAAATGTTATCCCCTTTTGATTTCTAGGCCCGAATTTTTCTCTGTGTAATATCATCCCCGCTGAATTTTACACCTATATATGATTATTAATATTTCCGCGTGTCCTCATTTCGTTTTGCTTTTTTGTGCCCGTTTTTGATACCCTGGGCTTTTGCTACCTTATTTCCATCGTTTTTTTTGTGCTCACTTCACCACCTCACCTTTTGCTTTTTGTGCTGCCACCAGGAAAACAGGAGGTTACGGTGCTAAAAGGAGTTTAATGCAGTTTTTACATCTCACACAAGTTTAACAGATAATGCTTGAATAATGCTGGCTCACATTCTGATAGCAACAATGCGCCTTAAACTAGCTCTCCCCCGATGCGCGTAGCATCTCAAAGAGGTATCGGTACAAACCGCCATTTGACACTATTTTTGTTATTAGAGGCCAGACGCCGAATACTTGAGAAGGGAGCATTAGGTTTTCACGGTGTTCCTTTCCACGCGACGTCCTTAGCGTGACGCCTATTTCCACAAAGTTATCAAGATGCTGACTCGAACAAGAAAATAGTAATCTAGTTTTGTTTTGACATTTCAGGACGCGTGCCAATGTTTTCAATGTTGGTATTTTAAGCCATCTCACCGGTTGGAGAAAGGAAAAAAAACACTTCGCTTTATTCGTTAAGCTATATCAACATGTGCATGTACTAAAGGGCCGCGAAGCAAACGGGGGGGGGGGGGGGGCAGAGAGGCAGGCAATAGTGTGCTCTTGCTCACGAACAACTATGAGAGGCCCGAGTTGGTTTTAAGGAGGCCCCTTTCCTGGTTTGGCCCCTCGATGGATCAGCACGCCCCTGTACAGGATTGGGAAGTGACCTTTATAAATACACCAGCAGGCCCACATTTTGCAACAGGGCGGTCAATTTTATGCATCAGAAGGCCACCGTTCCTGGTGACGTTGCCCTGTTTTGGGTTAACGAGACCCTTTGCTAGATTTGGAGTCTCCTCCATGAATTAGTTGGAGTCCCCTTGATGAATCTGAGGGATCCTGTCCTCGATAAGAACACACTTATCGATGTATTTATAACACATTAGAAGCCCTGTCTGGGTTAGGAAGGTTCTTTGGTGAATTGAGAAGCCCCCTGTATTAATCAGAAGCCCCCATACTGTGCTTTTGACTGTCGACGCATGTTCCCATGGATTTTGATTCATGCACATGTTTGATAGGGGGTATGTGCCCCGGTAGCTCTCTTGAATACGACATTGCTCAGGAGCCCCCGTAAACAGTAGATCCCTAAAAAATTCTACCTCCATCTCCGTCGGGCCGCCCCTGCAGGTACTGAAAGGTATTCAATCAGAGTCAGCTATGTCGGATGCCTTCAGTCATTTTGTCTACAAACTGCTCCAACTTTAAATCCTGTGGTGATTAATAAATTATTTGCCACATATCAGCGAGTGCAAAATTAACTTCGTGTGAGGATTATGGATAATATGGATGCACGGTAGTATTAAGTGGATGATGTAAGCTCATCTAAAAGCCGAAACCGATCCAGCACAACGCAACAGTGTTTGACAAAAAGCAGTTAGCCTTCCACCTAGCGGCGGTTTGGTCAATGCGCATGACTTCCGACACTATCTACCGTTAACTAACCAAACGAGTGCAAAAAGGCATGTTCCGTGGCATATCAGTCTGTTCCAAACACCTGGCATCATCCAGAGTGATCGCTGCCCTGCCCGGGGTATGGTCTGGTACCGCACTGGCCTGCGTCGCCATGCAGAGCTGATACAGCATATCTTACCGTCGGTTGGCGTGGGAGGCACTTCCGGTCGAGGCGCTCGCCACGGGGGTTCACTGTAGGCTTGCTACGAAACTGCTGGGTGTCCCAATCAGCCCAGCGAAAGAGCGAACCCACGACGTTATACCACGAAACGATGCGGATATTGACGGAGATTTAGTTTGATTCCGTGCAGTGGCAAACACACCAGCGTCCACTTCCCAAATTACAATCGGATGAAGATGTCACTAAGGCTCAAGTGCTGTCAATTGTCCTGTTAAGGCGTTGGCGCTTCACTATGACATTCGTCGGAAGTCTTACGTAGCGTCTGTAAGGATTTTCCTTACATACATGAAACTCCCGAATGACATAAACATGACAATTATAACGAACACAGGCAGCAGCGACCTGCATCACCATCTCTGATACCAAAAGTTGCCGATGAATTTTCTCGAGATTTTCATGCCTCCCGCCATCAGTAAGTGATGGAATGAAATGTGTGATGTTTATTTTATCCGGTTTTCAACGCCAGCTCTTCCGAACTCGTTTCGCAGCGTGTAGACTTTTCAGAGTCCACATCCATTGACGATCGAGCGACCTACAAGGAGCCATTGGCATTCAAACGTCTGATATGTAACTGAAGCGGTTGATTATAGTGGCAGCTGATGAATGGTACACATGGTAGCTGTCAGCAGCCAGCCCCGACAATGCACTGGTGTGTACCGATGCTTAACTGAAAATTGATTATGTGTGGGACTGAAGAGGCTGGACTGAGAACGGCAAAATCTTAGATCGATGTATTTATGCATGCTTGGCACAGACGCATGGGCGATATGGACCAATAGGTCGATGGGTGGTGTGGTGTATATACTCTGCTGGGTCCCGTTGGAAAAACGCTTCCTTTCATGGATTTTCATTCCTATCTCCCTCTCTTTACCATTACATGACGGCACACAAAATGCATGCCAAACCGCCGGCCCATCATCAAACGCTTTGTTTCATCTAGTTACCATGCTGTTGCATCTGCCATCGCATTGTACTACCGATCCGCAACTTCTCATTCGCTTTTGCTCGTAGCATTTCAGCCCAGTGTGAAGCGACATGACATGACAGCGACACATGCGACAGCGACATGACATGTCAGCGACATAGTTATGCTCCAAATGTAACCATGTCATGCCGGCAACAAGATATCAGTTTTCGATTTGGGGGTTTCTGATATTCTCAACCATCTTGGGATCTCTAGCCACGCACATTTTGCATGGTCTGAAGCTAAGACGATCCAAATATTTTGTCTTTTTCCAAACTCGTTCGATTAGTATCAGGCGATACCGAAGCCAGCTAGTTCTAGACCACTTCTCAGCGATTCCTCTGACTCGCACAAACTGTGCGGCAAAGTGCACTAACTCGTCTCGTTTGCTGACCAGATATCACACCGAGAGCGGCGCACCCCCCTCCTCCGCGGCGCACCCCCCCCCCCCCGCGGCTCTCGACAGCGGCACACGCCGACGGCTGGCCGCGGTCGGCAGCTGCAGCCGCCCCCTCCCCCCTCCAAATAGGCCCTCTCGCCGGTCAGCCAGCGCGCTGTCACTTTAAAACACCGCAATCGAACGGGCGCCGGTGATAATTCAATGCCGGCGAGATGCCTTTAATGACGGCCGTCGGACCGCGTCTGGCACGTGGCGGATGGCCGGGCCGACCGGCGCGGCGACGGGCCGCGCGCGCCAATTTCACACCTCTGGAACAAATTACGGCATTTACTCTGAACGGCCAGATAATTCGACACACTGGTGGCCACGTGCGGTTGTATTAGCGGCCTGCCGTCCGACTGTCTACTCTTCACTGACGAGAAAATATGTGATCATCGGCTGATGGTGTTAACCCACAGCGCCACGCGTCCAGCCACCCGATCAATACCGGAGCGATGCGTTCACTTCCGGCGTGAAAGCTTTCCTCCAGTCCATCACCATACCTGAAAACATGACAACTCTCATTTGTGACGACGACTTTGGTGACGTTCTTCCCCTCCGGCTCCGCCGGCCGCTGACCAGAGTGGCGGTTACGGGGCCGGCACGAGCCCGGGGCGGGGTGGCGGTGAAGCGGCCGGCTCGCGCACGGGACGCGTGTCACCACCGGCCGGAAAAACAGGGCGACACAGCGACCGGAAGCCGCTGATTTCCTGTCGCCTGACCGCGGCCAAATTGGGCTAAATGAAACTGGATAGGCTGGGCTCGCCCCCTAAATCCATTCCCGGCCCGCATGGGCGGCAAATGCGATACCGGGACGGACGCGAGGGACTTCGGCCGCGTGCACATTTACCTGTCCTGATGGGGGCGATGATGGTTCTTAATTAAGCCGCAGATACCATGCAGAGATCCAACATATCTCATGATCTACGTAATCCCCGTGTCTTTGTCTAAATGTGCTATTGGTGTTGTTAGAAGTTTGCTTCGGAAATTCCATCAACAAATCCAAAATATGAACGTGATTCCAGGCCTGGCTTCAGCACCTCGGCTTCTGCGCTAACAAACGGAGCGAAAAAAGACATCCGACATTTTATTGGTTGGGGTACGTGCCGATTTAAAGACGTGCTTGATCTTAACCCTCACCCTGATTCGCCGTTTTCATACCGCGAATTGATAGAAAGGGTGGGGTCTGGGGCAATACTACCCCCCCCCATGCGGTTTTTAAACTAAGGGAGATAGAGCTTAGCGGAACACTAGCGGACATGTTATATATTACTACTAAATTATTGAATATACAAATTACTACATTTTTTTCTTCCTACGTGTTCTTACTCATGTACGTTAGACACGGGGCTATAATAGCCACGCTCCATTGTGGATGGCTCTATGAATGTAACACACGCACACACACACACACACACACACACACACACACACACACACACACACACACACACACACACACACACACACACACACACACACACACACACACACACACACACACACACACACACACACACACACACACACACACACACACACGTACCTATTTCGGAAATCTTATATATGATCATTACTAAATTTTATATCAACTAGCCCAGCTGAAGCCAAATATATTGCTTGCATTGATGTGTGTTTGGATACTTGCCGACAATTACAAATTCACGAATGACAAGTAAAGCTAAACAAATCCCCCAAAAATGTGATGTTGTTTTACGGCATTTAAGGAATTCCGTGCATGCGCCGAGGTAACCTGGGTTTTCGGCATTTTCGTTTTGCTTTGTTTTGCCCTTCCCCTATCACGCATTTCTGCGTTCATCCCTGCGAACATGATGTAACTGGCACAAGGTTTGCTTTTACGATCTCATGGAACCAGAGCTTACCACAATAAAACAACATTAATCGTCAAGAAGGCTCCGATGCACATATTTTCTTATGCCTTGGAAAACCGTTGCATCACGTCCCACCTGCAAACTGTATCGCGTCCTTGTATTCCGTTGTTAGTGACATCAAACGGCTTCCTCCACAGCATTCTTTTCGAATACTGAGATGTGTCTTTGCATGCTTATAACCCTCCTCTTGCATGACATTGAATGGCTCACATAATTAGCTGCCGCATAACCATGGGATGAACATCGTCAGCCACAGTTCTTCGTCGGTGTCTGTTAGCTAAAAAGTGCTGAGCTGCGTTCCTATTGATTTCATCCCAATTGACTCTTGATTGGCCGTGGTTAGTTTAAATGTCCGACAGCCGACATCCATCGTCCACTGGACCGACACCAGCCAACTGCCATTCTGCTCTCTAGGTAAACGCAACGTCATTACCCCGGGTAGTAATAGCCATGCCGGTAATTTCTGGCCACTAAATTAATAGCCTATGACGGATAGTTCCGGGGTCGGAGAGAAGTGACGTCACGGCCTAGCGCCTCGCTGACGTCAGATTAGACATCGTCTGGTGAATTTGGGAGCTGATCCACAAACGTTTGCCATCTTCCTGGCAGGCCAAGTGCAACGAGCAAAAACCATGGCGTCAGCTGCATCCTATGGCTGTCTCGACCCAAATTTGATGGAACCTTTCATTGGAACAGGCCTCCAAGTTTGAAACCAGCTAAGCTGCAAACACCGCGCGGCAGAGCACTCCACCTGATTGCGGCGCGGGCGAGCCGTTAAAGTCAATGAAATCAAAAATATCCTTCCAAAACTTTGGCATTCAGTCAGAGTGAATGAAATAGATCAACGGGCTTGCAGCATATAGTCACCTCCGGAGACACGTGCCCCTCCCCCCTTACCACATTTGTGGCACGCATTAATTTATTATGTCCGGGACTGAACGAAGTTCCAGGTATTTGCGTTAAACTAGGAAGATCGAGGGCATGCCATGTTGTTTTATGACATCCCGGAGGCTGCGGGCACCTGAGGTTTTCTAAGGCACCTGAAGGCACTGAACTCGGTTTTCAGGAAACATTTTATGCCCCGCCATTTAAACTCCGCGTACCTCCCTAGATAGTGATGCATTTTTGCACTAGTAGTCATGTTGCCTGGCGTAACTTTCTCCAAAACGAAGTGAAATAAACATCGATATGCCTTATACCAAACCATAAGCAAACCATAGACATGCCCTATAGGCTGTACAAATTACGAACTATTGTGTTATTGGTACGAATGTTTTGACACAAATCATATCATATTTCTCATAAAACTATTTGTTGGCAAGCGTCACGCCTTTATGGAATATTCTACAGATCCTCAAAATGCCTGCGTTAATGACCGGCCCATTTTCCCAGTCTTATGCATCGGCGCAACCCAGAGCTTCCGTCAACACAACTTCCCAGCATGACCTGATTTTGGAACGACCATCAGACAGCGACAGGATAACACAATCACTGGTGGCAAGTGCCCTACCCAGGCCAGTCACGTGATGGAAATTATCCCCGATTACGCGGCGCCCGGTCGAAATCCTAATGATGCGTCGGCAACTGCAAGCGCCCATTTCCGCGGCGGAAGTGGCTTTAATTAGTCTGTCATTATTGATGAATTTCAAATGGTCGAGCCACCCGGATCGCCGCATTTCAATGACGAAGTGCTATGGGGTACTGCGGAATGTGCACAGCCGCAGAGCCCCTCTTCTTGCTTTGCCGAAGGAGGTCGTGTGGTTTTGGAGCGCATTAGGTTCTGGATCACATTTTTTACAGTCATCTCTAGCCATGGCATTCACGCCATAGGTACATTCAAGCACAATGCATGCACTTCCTACTGGATTCTCGGAGGAGATGGGGTGCCGAGCATTCTTAGGGTGTGCTTAAGATCGGTGCAAACAAAATCATGATCTTTTTGCCCACAAGGATCATTGTACCTTTAGAGATGAATCCGATATCAAACCTTAATGCACGCCAAGTTCCGAAAGCCCCACAGCCCTCATTTTCTAGGGGTGGAGCCATGCTCCATTGGCCGACTTTGGTCTGCCAGTCTGCTCCTTTTAATTTCCTTCCCAGATATCCACGGCATCGATCAGTATCTGCGAAGCCGGACAGAGTATCAACCAGGCATTCTTCCGCTTTCGCCCGCTTATTGCTGGGGATAGGCGACGCCGCTCGTTGATCTGACGCGCTGACTATAAGTCGAGCCCTCCTGCGAAGCCATGCCTAGGAAGCGAAGTCAGCCATACGACCTTCATCTCGTGCGAAGAGCACCCAGTATGGACTGCCATACCACTTCTATCCATACGGGGTTTACCCCGTGGGATTGTTTTGGCATTGTGGTCTTATTCGTGCGATCTTTTGGTGTACGATCATTTGCTAACGATCTTTTGCGATGCGATCTTTACCCGGTTGCTGGCTGACGGACACGGGATCGGCCTGTTGCAGTCGCTCGTCGGCGCAGGAAGGACGCTCGCCAGCGGCGGCAGCGGACCACCTTCACATCGGAGCAGACGCTGCGGCTCGAGATGGAGTACCACCGCAACGAGTACATCTCCCGGCCGCGCAGGTCAGAGCGAGAAGGAACACATCTCCCGGTTTGCCAGATCAATGAGAGAGGGGCGCCAAGACAAGGGACAAGAGAAAAGGGGGCACGAGGGAGAGGGGCAAGAGAGAAAGTTCCTCAAAGAAAAGGAACAATAAAGAAGGGGCCGGGAGGGAAAGGGCACAAGAGAAGTGGGCACAATGAAAAGGGGCAAGGGAGAAGGGGTATGTCAGCTGGCTCGCAGGTCAGAGGGAGAGGAGAGCACATCTCCAGGCCGACAAGTCAGAGCGGAGGGGCACCCGGCTCCGTAGGTCAGAAAGAGGGGAGAAGGTACTCCCGACACCACGAGTCAGAGGGACAGGGGAGCACATTTCCCGGCCTCGCAGGTCAGAAGGAGAGAAGAGCACATCTCCCGGCCCCGTGTTCCGGAGGGAGATGAGAAGGGAGGAGGAGGATGGAGGGAGGGAGTTGTGTGGGAAAGGGAATAGAGATCAATCAGATGTGAGACGTCCGGGTAAGGTGGAAAAAGGGAAAATAAACCCTACAGGGAAAACGGATGGATGAAAATAAGTGAGGTAAGCAGGGGCGCAGCCAGGATTTCGTCAAAGAAGGGGCTCGGAGCCCGGCGAAAACGAATCGCACCGGTTTTCAGCTTCCTGTCGGGGGCAATCTGAGGTGAACAATGGAAAATCCGGGCCTACAAAGGGAACAGGCCCCGGGCTACTCCCTTGGCTGCAACCCTGTAGATATGTGAGAGAGGCAGAGAGAAATCCTTAGAGGAGAAGGGCTGGTCATATCTCTCTGTTCTGCAGGTGACATACGGGTAAAAAATCGAAGCTCTATCTATGTCAAGCCGGCTTCCAGCTAGATGAAAGCCTGGATACCATCTACACACAAATACCAAGGTTTTCGTTATGCGTTCTTGTCATTGTTTGAGATCTTTGTAACCATCATATCCTAGCTTGTTCATGACGAGCCATTCGCTGCGCAGGACATCAACGTATTTTGGTGCCATGCCCTTATATCACTGAACGATGCTACGAACAAGCTGATGCGTTTTATAAAAGCTTGGTGGATATGCTTTCAGATTTGAGCTTGCTGAAAGCCTGGATCTCACTGAAACGCAAATAAAGATTTGGTTTCAAAACCGGCGGGCGAAAGACAAGAGAATCGAGAAAGCCCAAGCGGACCAGCAATACCGGTGAGCGCGCACTGCACCGACTCAGCCGAACTTCTCGGCCATTTCAGACGCTCTTATAGGCAAAGTTCCACGTTGGAAACATTAAAGCAAGAAACATCAAAGATGATGAAGTAAGCTTTGTCATAACTTTTTGTGCACTTTCAGGTGGAATAGGCTGTTCCAGCGAACACATTTTCTCTATTTAGTTAATATGCCCCTCAATGCGTCATTGTTTGCACGCGTCATCGTATTTTACACAACATTAAATGAGAGCCAACTGACGCCCCTTATATCTGTACATTGTGCTCGCCAATGCAATATATGAATGACTCGACAATTATATTTTTTGGCATTGATCACCGCATGCCTGATGGAATAGCAAGATTTGAATGGCGTTTTTATGGGGTCATGGATGCCTGCGTGCCTTAAAAAGTCTCTCCAAAAGAGTTTGCACATCTTTGCGGGTGTGTAGCTCGGAAACTAGAGCGGTTTAGACCGTAAGGAGGAGGCCAGCGAACTGCACCGAATGGCCTTCAGAATGGCTAACCCAGTTCAGACCCCCCCCCTCCATACAAATGAAGAATATCTGCTTTAATTACGTATTACCCTGTGTGCAATGTGGAACACCTCACCGGGCATCCATCCTTTCCAAACTTTTTCTTGTCGCTCAGACTCTCGCCATAGGGTATGCAAACGTTGAGCAAATGCTGCAGTAGCGATTGGAATTAAAATGCTGCTTGCAAATTGGTTTGTGTCATTGGCCAATCGCGCAAACAAGTATTTTTATATTTGATAGCAACGCCTAGCTACGACTGATCGATGGTCTTCTACGCCCGTGCGATGCGATACTTGAAGGTTTTAAAGGCCCCGTGTCGACTGCGAACACGACGGAATGGTTGTTAATGAAACCCTGATTGCTTGCAGTTCTTCTGGTTGGGTCCTTTCATACACTGCCGTCGCCGATTAAATGCTGCATCCGTTTTAAAATTGGAATTGGGCTATTAGGTTGTTGTAGCTAAGGTCGAGCCAGCTGCACACGTTTCAAGTTAATTGATCTTTGTCAGATCCACTATCGTAAATTAACACCATCTTCAGGCTGTTACTGAACATTCAGAGTCTGATTATATGCCTGTAAAGTGAGACATCTTGATCTCTGACAGCAATTCTGCGTTACAAATCACACCTGTGACCTGCGAAATCTAGATGGGAGAGTAACCGCAACCACCACTGATATAAAAAACCAGCCATTGCCGTCCTAAAACACAAGCTCCGGTCATCAACAAATACGCTTCAATGACTAGCTTGCACAAATATTCCGACGAGCTTTGGTGTCCGGGAGCTTCTCCAACAGCTGGCTGAATTGTTGCTGGCTGGTGACGTTTCATGTTTGCAAGTATTACATTACGCTAGCATGCTAAGCAGATTTCCTGCCGGCTGCGCGTCCCGCTTTCACGTGTAGGTCAGCGGGGTTCCAGGCCGGGCGGCCGGGCGGCCGCGGCCCCCGGCCCGCGCCCCCAACAGAGGAAGTCAGGTGGATGCGTGCGGACCGCCCCCTCTGGGCCCTCCCGCGTGCCTTCCGGTCCGCCCGACAGATAAGGAAATATCAAGTCAATTATATTCATTAGCTAGGTGTGCTTGCCTAATGAGGTGCGTAAAGCTCGGGGCTCACGGGCCATGAAAACCGCGCGCGCGCCGCCGGCCGGCCCGCTGAAAGGGGAGAGCAGCGCCGGAAGCGGCTGACAAAGGATGCGCGCGGCACGGTCGCGATGCGGCCCATTTATTAAATCAATGTGTGGAGGAGTGACGGCTGTGAAAGGGGGAGTGCACTAATTGCCGGCGATTGTAACACCCGTCCGTGATGCTTCATCACCGAGGCTGCGCATATGTGATACGGACGAATCAACGGCTAATTTATCGATGCTCATTCCAGTGGCCACTATTAACGATTGGTTCATTTGGCTCATTTCGGTGTGGCACTTTGGTTAGATCCGAGCTATTGTTGCCCACACGCAAACACGATGGTCTATTAAAGGGATGGACCGAAATCCCCTGCAACATCTCTGACTTGGGACCACTCGGGGGACGACTTTTGCGACAGCCTCACTGAACAACCATCTCGACTAGGTCCGAAATCCGCGGGTCCACTAAATACGTGATTTTCAGCCAGCCGGCCAGTGACGCCGGGCGGCGCACCGCAACAGCCCCGCCGTGTGTCCGCCCATCGTCTATAACCGGCTTCGTTAGCGGCCATCTGGCTCTGATGACGGCGCGGTGATACAATCGCCCGGGGCGGCCGCCAGTCGCCGCCGCCGCTGCCATGTTGCGTTCTCGGCAATCACGGCGCGCACCTGTCCACGGAGCCGACAGTTAGAGGCGAGGGCCATTGTCGGCCCGCTCACCGGCCGCCGGTGACACCTCGTCATGACAATATTCATGAATTGGTGATGGCGGGGAAGCGACGCTGCCCCGGTGGCGGGCTGGTGTGTGTTACAGGGCGGTGTGGCGACGCCGACGCGGCTCGATACTGACAAGGCATACGACAGATATGGACGACAGATAGCCGATTGCCATTTGGAGGATAGCTGACAATGAATATTTATTGGTCGCCTGTATCGGGCGTGGATCCATGGGACACCATCCCGGCTGGTGATAGCTGCACTATCTGCCACCCCGGTCACGAGGGGTGCTATGCTTCGCACTGGTGCTATGCTTCGCAGCCTGCGGTCGTCGCACCGATTATCTACCTCACACAGCAGGGCACCTACAGACCACGTTTTCAATTAGCGCTGACACACGCCGTTTCTCCAGCCAGTTGTTATTTTGTGACGCGTGTTCATCGCTCATGGCACCGCCGCGCCGCCGGTTCTCCGCGGCCGGCGGCGGCGCGCTGCTGCCCGCAATTCATCAGCGGCCGCCGGTTTGTTATTGGGCCGAGGCAGGCTGCGGTCCGGGTCCCGGCCTAATCGGAGCTCTTCCGGTGCTGCTCGTTTTTGCGCCCACTCAGTCGAGGAAGGTGGCACGCGCGCCTGGCTGAGGGGGCCAGCCCCGTAATTGCCGGCGGCGGCCTGGTGATAGAGCTGAGGTGAAATCATCGGCCCGGTCGGGGCAGCCGCCGCTGACCCGGGGACACGCGCCGCGCAATGGCGGGCCGCAGAGCTGCCAGATGTGGCGCGCCGCCGCTGACCCGGGACACGCGCCGGGCAATGGTGGCCCGCGCAGCTGCCAGATGTGGCGCGCCGCCGCCGATCCGGCAAATGGTGGCTCAGCTGATCCCGTGGCCGCGACGGTCCGCTGCCCACCCGTGGCCATTCGGCAGTAGTCAAGACCTCAGCTAGCTCATGGCTGCTAGCGAGAAGGGCAAAACTGGCCTATTGCTCAATTTCTTGAGGTTTTTAGCATTGTGTGTTGACATTCCAAGTCAGTGAACCGTCAAACATGCACAATATTCTTCCAACGCGGAAGCATATAAATATGCATCCCTTCTGCGTGATGTTTGTACCATGCACAGATTACGTAATGGACAAGGGAAGGGGAAATCATGACGAACTGTTATGTTTTCTTACGGGGTGAGGGGAATGCGTTATTCTGTTACGTAGCAAATTGATAGCTATGCAGCCAGGGCGGTCACTCTTTAGAATCACGCGGGAGGGGGATCGGCCGAAACAGCTGACCTAATTTGCCCCCAAAACCTGGTTCCCCCGGATTTCTGCCAGCTGAACTTGCGTTTTTCGTGTAAAAGTGTACAATAATCGTATGTCTAAAATTGTTTTCTTGCGTGGGATGATTTTCCATTTTAAGTAAATGTTAACTGCTTTCTGGTAAAAAACGTGGAATGGGACGCAATTCACAGAGAAATATTTTGGTAAACCTTGATAATGGATCACTAACGGCTACCGGCGTCACCGGTCGTATTGTATAACCACCGCAGTCACGATTATGCAACAAGTACACTAACCAGTGTTAATGGAAACATGCCTTAACTTTTATTTAGGCAACCCTATGCTTTAAAGAGCTGACGCATGTTCCAGTAAACTGTTCTTTATCCCAATCCAGGCGTCACCATTTGAAAAACTTATCAAACATTCGCAGGCTGTCTCAACATATGAAGGGGCTAGCATGACAAAAACACTAGGTACATACAGGATATTCTTTGAAGCAAAATTGGCATGATACTGATAGTGATCTGTTTATATACCTAGTACCTATTCCACCAATAGTTAAGATAACGATTGTTCCGTATTTATTTGACCCAGTATTCCCCCTTTGCTCGTGTGCATTGAAGGGGCTCAGAGGAACATTGAAGGGGCTCAAGCCAGCATTGGGCGAGGGGGGTCTCAGCCCCCCCGAAAGTATATGAAGTGACGCCCCTGTACGCAACACTCCTGCAAATCACTGCGCAGCTATGCAACACTTTCGGCCATTTGACTTTTGCGCTCGTCATCCTCCGCCAGTCTATTCTTATAGTATTCAGGCTGGATGTTTGCAGATAAAGGCGAGACTGTCTTTTAGCTGTCTTTAACATCATGCTGATGTCCTGCAGAAGCGTGTAATATACTTTCAGCTAGTCTCTCCTTAACCATGCTGATGGTTTTTCGCACACGACCCAAGAGCAGGGGTGTAATTTCTTGCTGGGAGGCGGGAGAGGTCCAGCCTCACCCCAGATCGAGCCCCCTTGCTTTGAAAAGAAGGTGGGCCTAATCCGGAGGGAAACTCGTTTGCTGCGGTAACTGTAGGGAAGTTTTCGTCATTTTTCGCGGTTCAGCCGCTCCCTCAGTTCATTTTGCAAACTTGCATGCACGACCAACAGGCTTGAGCCCGATCTCGGAGAGACTGGCGCGGGCGTCTTGGTTTCATACGCAAAGAAAAGCCCAAACTGATGGCCGCCGGGGAGTCTTGTCCGCCGGAACTCAGCCGAGAATGAGCCCAGAGTGAACCATTCGAACACATTTCACATTGAAATAATGAGCGTGGGAATCGAGCTCAGTATTCCTGCAGATTAAACCACACTTTTAGAGTTAGTTCGAACGTCCCTCTGACCGAGGAGTAGGACAGAGGACTCACAGAATATTGGGGGCCTCAAACATACAGATCAACTGGGAGCTAGCCAAAGAGAATGCACCCTTGGCAACAGGCGCCCCTGGTCGCTCTAAAATCATGGCATAACATGACACGTAAAGTATCTTTCCGATATACTGCCCAGAAACAAACGGCAAATACTAAATTTCGTTGATGATGTCATGTGATGAAGATAATAAGCCTCCATTTTAGCATAATAAAGTGATCAAACGAAACCATCAGACTAATACTGAACTGTACTCAACAATGCATGAAATTTTCTGTAGTTTTTGGAAGTTTTAGGCTTTAAATACATTTCAAAAATGGCCTGATATCTCCTTTAAATCAGCCCGTCCTGGTAAAATAAATGTCGGATGTACAGCATAGGAGCTTGCATTGTGATAAACTCAGATGCCAAGGCATATGTTACTTATTTCAACCATGAACAACTACTCCAGTGAACTGCCATAATGCTACCTAGGTGTTGGCTCCAAGGTGCAAGCACCGGTATGCCTATATCTAAGCATGTCTTCTCCAAGTTCACTGACATCTGTTCAAAGCAGCTTAACTTAAAAACGCCAGGAGCAACGCACCTCTCAGACATTTGTGACGCAAATGTCTCGGAAGCCTGCGGAAGCGACGCCCATAAATTAGGCATTCGCCTGGTAACCTTCACGTATCCTGGGGGTGAAATGATCGCTAGTCGATTTCATACCTGCCGGGTGACCAATTTCATACCTGCCGGGTGACCGATTTCATACCTCCTGGGTGACCGATTTCATACCTGCTGGGTGACAGCCAGACTTAAGGCATGAAACAGCCTAACGAAGGGGCCAAAAGTGACAGCTCCTCCACAACATCCGCAAAGACCGTCCGGACCATTTCTCCACGAGCTGGTGACCCGTCAGCCTCGTTTGAACGACATTGAATCAGAGCTTTGGCGGAGGCATCTCTCTGTGTGAGGGATTTATGCGCTCGCATACTGCAGCTGATTCATTGCAGATAGCGGGACAAGAATGCAACTGTACGATCATTGGAGTCCGATTTATAATTTGCTTTCCGATCTAGTTTCATTCTAACGATTTTGGACGTCGGACGAGGGTGACTGGACTGCCAAGGCTGCTCGCATCAAGATGTCGGACAGTCGTCACTTCGTTTAATTGTCCCGACTTAAAAAGAAAACTCTGCAGATGTATTGTGTCCGTGTCAGATATCCTTTAAAATGATATCATCGCCGACAACGCAGATGGCTCCGTAGAAACATGACCATTGGTTTTTCAATCACACAGTTTATCATTAGCATCCATGTGTAAGGCCGCCACTGTGGAATTCCCGTTGGAATTTTGTCACGCGGGGCTTTGAGAGCGTCGTGCTGACCTTCGATGTTAAATTGTTTTCGTTTTCATTTAATCACCTTTCATCGTACTAGGAACGGAAAACAGAACAGTGCGCGAAAGAAAATATATTCCTTTCATAGGAAGCACCCATCTGACATACTGATGCACACAACTCGTGAACATGTAAAGCATGCTGCATCGATAAAGGCCATGGCTGGTACTTCTGGTTCCGTAGGTTGGATCGAAACAATGAGCGCTTTTAATATATTTCATACTGCATGTAGTCCATGGTCTGAAACACACGCAACGTGACCCGTCCTTTTATACCTGCGCCACTTACCACCTTATGCGACAGTCGCAAAAAGCCCACCCGTAGTCTATAAACCCACAGTTTCATTGATGTGGCCAACCGGTGTCTGGCGCCGCCCGCGGGTGTCGTTAAGTCCCGTATCTCCCGCCGCGGGTGCGTGGCGCTGGCGTCAGATCTGGCGGGACCTAATTCTCGTGTCTCCCGCTGCAGGTGTATGGCGCTGGCATCGGGTCTGGGCAGCGGTCTCGCTGGTGGCGGTCTGGCCAGCGGCTGTCTGCCCGCCGGCTACGGGGAGCCATCACTGAACTGCAGCCTCTGCTACATCAAGCCGCCGGCGGCGACGGTGGCGGCGACGTCTCCGCTGCTCGCGCCGCCCGCGTCATCCTACCGATAGAGCCGGGTCCGCCGTACCGACGCCACTCTGCCGGTAGAGGCTGGCTTGTACCGTTCGTCTACGGTACCGGCAGAGGCAGGCTCGCACCGTCCGCTTATGGTACCGGTAGAGGCTGGCTTCTGCCGTCTGTTTACGGTACCGATGGAGCCGGGCTGGTACCGTCTGCGGACTCGGACTGCGAGCTGGGCACGTACCGCCCATCCCGCCGCATCGGTACAACCAGGCTTGTATCGCTCGTGTCTTCATAAGCCAAACCTGTTTTGTGGCCTCAAGAAGAAGGGCACGCAGCCTGGCTCAGCGGCGAGACGTAACCTAGGGACAACGGGAGTCGGCGCCGTCTCGTGCGTCCGTGATCCGCGTTGGCTGAAGCAGTTCGTGACGGCAAAGTTCAAGTGTCGATGGTGCCGTGTCTATTCGCACTGGTACGCCATAGCCTGCAGTCTCAATGGTTCGGTGATGCCGTGTTGATTCGCACTGGTACGCCATAGCCTGCGGTCTCATTGGTCCGAAAGTAGGGCGGTGCATAAACATTCTGCAACTAGCTGATCTCCACATGCTCATGAAACATTCGGCAGTGCTGTATGATCTCAAAGGAAAGATCTCTGAATGCTACATAGATGTTACGTGTTGCTCTTAACCGGTGTTAGCCAGCACTACACTATACATTCAAAGCACCATATGTATCATACACATCGTATATAAGCATATTTAATTATTTCGTGCTCAAGTAATCATATCAAAATGTGATTGTAACGAATGCGTCGCGACGAGTGCCGTGTAATGTTAAACTTGCAATGCAAGCGAGTGAGATGTACTTGGTTCTAGTCATATTAGTTCGTGCCCTCAGGACGCTAGCCAAAGATGATCACTTGTACACAATGGCATTGCCCACTGCACACATCTGCATTAGAACAGATGGGGGAACAATCCATGCAGTTAGAGGTTATGTCCAATGTGCACAGCTTTTCCTATAATTGTGAGATATTGTTGCTGCTAAGCCGATGGTTACGGAAAATTGAGTCAGGTAAACGTATGCACCGTTTAAATGGACTGAAAATGTGACGAAAATATGGAAATAAATATAACGTACCCAATAAGGCTACAAAACATACATACCAAACACGTGCACTTGAAACATATGGGTTCGTTCATACTCAGTCATTTTCGGGTTGCATGAAGGTATCTTGTCACCAAATGTTTATTTGGTGAAGCAACGCGCATTGACCTTCGCATGTAAGGATATCTAGACAAGCATGATAAGTTGTCTTTAGTTAAATGACTGGTGCATTAAGAAGTGTAGTGAATATTTGGGAAATGCCCATTCATTCCAAAAACTGTCAAAGTTGTGCGTTTGAGTGTTTTTCCGCTTTAAACCACCAGTTTTCAGATCCGAAGGCCACACCAGAGTACTTTTGGAGCGCGCTTATCAAATATGCGCCATGCCGATGCCCCCTAAGCAACTGCGAATTCCGGCAAACATATAATGTACTAGCACTGCCTTGCGTAGAACAGAAAAACATCACATGCTGAATAAATGCTGCAAAGAGTCATTGTGTTTGATTTTATTGCAGCAATCTTGTAGCGGGACGGACACATGAATGGCTTGCTTGGGTTTCAAATGGCGAGTTTTATATTGTGAGGCCAGAACGTTTTCTATGTCCCTCGGCGTTTTATCATCTCTACATCCATAAATTACGTAAGAGACAAGCAGGAGGATGCCCTGACCGGCCATGACGGTCCTCATTGGGAGCAGGAGTGGAAATTGCTGTTACGCGCGGGTCGAAACAATGCAGCATTTTCGGCTATTGGGTTACCATGCATGATAACTAGCTCCGCCATTCCATTCCCATTGTTTCCAAGCCGAATGTATGTAATGAAACACCAGTCAGCCCGCTTTTACACATTGTTAACGTGCTACCTTGGTTACATGCTGCAACGCTTGCTTCATTGACTTCAGTCAACATGTCGCACCCGAAGCATAACTTGCTTCGGGTGCGACAGGCACAGACAGACAGACAAACACTTTCAGGCGCGTCCTGAGGAAATCCAAACGGGGCATGAACTTAGAAAAAAGGCGCAAGACGTGCTTTGGTTTGATGTGCCAAGAAGCCCACGTTGAACACGGCTAGTCCGTTCTGTTTTGGGGATCCCAGCCTCAGAAATGTCCAGTGTGAAGCATCCGCTGCGTGTTGCATCCTAAAGCAAAATGCGCAAGACTTGAAGCTCAGATTTCGGGCCGTTTAAATCGCCATAGTTTGGTCGTTCCTCTGGCTGATCGAGATAGCATGGAGGATGAGAAATCCACTGATCCTGCAGGCACACCAGTCAGCTGACAGCTAGCCACGCGGCGTGACGCTAGCACAAAGCGGCCGCGTCACACTGTTGTGTGCCACGAAACAGATCCACCACTCTTCTCCGAAACGCGGGCACTGATGCTTAAGTATCCATTACGCTGACATGGCGCTACCGGGGTGATCAGCTTAGGTTACCAGCGAGACTGCACGCATGCCTACTGGGCCCATGGCCGCTGAAACAGAGCATTCGTAAGTACTAAACGAAAGCATCAGTCGGCAGTGGCGACGAACTTGTTAAAAGTGTTCTGACGGAAATGTCCTGGCAGCGTGAAGTAGGTGCACATAAATTACCCGTCGCTTAGTTATCGTTGGACACCCAGGGCAACACATGAAACGTATGCTCACTTCACACTAGGCGCGCTGGAATAATAATAAGAAAGTGTGGCAGAATGCAGAAGCGTTTAGAACTAGCTTATCACCCAAAACATCCCAGTAATGTCATTTGCCATTTTGTATGTTGCCGAAAGAAAGGCTTGGCCAACCAAAAATCAACCCCAACATTCAACAGTACCACTTGTTTCATGTAAAACATCAACAGTACTATTTTACTCACATGTGTGCCAGGTAAAACTGCTTCAGAGTAAGAAATACCGCAACGATGCCACTGTGGGTTTATCAAAGTTTATTCCGTTACAGTGACCCTGCATGAGTTATTCATTTCTTTTCCCCTCAAATTGTTTGCATGAGCAGCTTCGGGCTCAAGACGCTTGATAAGCAGAACCCGTCGACTGTACCTTGAGTTCTTTACCCATGCTGTTGTTTTGTTCTTACAGGCACTTTTCTCCTGTTCCTTTTGAGGGGGGAGGGTGGCATACGAGACTGAGGGTCCCATTTGTCTTAAAATACTACGGTGCCACCGCGCTGGACCATATTGAGCATCTTTGACTAATTGCAAGCTGACCTCTCATGAAAGCCAGGTCAATGTGCTCGTTCGGGGCGGGTACCCAGCAGTGGCATAGCCAAGACGGAGGGGGGGGGGGGGGGTTCAAGGCCATGGCTCCCTCCAGGAGGTGACGGGGTCCCTTTAGTCCAGAGAGCCCAGTGATTTTTGCCAATCTTAGACTCTATTATGATTCTGCAACAAAAAAGATACCCGAGGCACCAAAAGGAAAAAGAAATGCTAGGGCTCGTACAAAGGTACAAAAAAAAAAAAATGCTAGGGCGCGTACAAAGGACCTCTTATCGATGAAAGGGGGCTTCC